TCAAATCACAAAGATCTGAGGGGCACTCACTACGCCTGTCACCCTGAGAGATAAGTTGATAGATATACCATGTGCTTATAACTTCACCTGCACCCTTACACGTTGCAGAAATGGGTAAGAGTGTAGAAAAGTGGGTGCAGAAAAGGTTAAGGCAGTACTTCTATTCTCGCTACTGGTGTTTAGATACAAGAAAAGGAGGTGTTTGAGACGAACACCCCCCTCGACACATACTGAGAGACAACATCGGAATGACATCAAGATGCAGCAAACGCATAGTCCTGCATCTTCAGATCACATCTACACCGAAGCGAAACCCAAAAGACGAGGATTTCACTTTGCTGAACTCCATGTGTAGTTACTGATACGTTTTTGTTTATTTTTTGCTATGTACTGGATGCTTATCTGACTAAATCACTTCTCATTTATTTCCTCGGGAGCATGTACGGTTTTTTGCACCGTACAATACTTTGCTAACTTAACAACCTACATATTGCACGTGTAAATGCTCATAAAGACAGTTGACAACTCGCTTCACTAGCGATCGGCCACAGATAAGCATCCAAAACTATACTGTATACTTTTTACTTAATACATCAACTTATTACGGAAACTGTGGTTTGCGTCAACTCTATATCCTACTCTACTTAATATTACTCCAATCTTAGACGTTCAGAGAACCATACAACGTCTCTAGACGAAATCTTTCACAAGGAATAAAATATATATCACAATGGAAGCATTCCAAACAGAACAACGACTTTTCAAAACCTCATTAAAACTACTTCCTATTTAAAATGACTTACAAAAGGCAGACCATATAGTCCAGTCCGAATTGAAAGACAATCTTAAAGGCTCTGCACTGCACTCAGCTGAGCACTTCTCTTATTGTACAATCTGGCAAAGTGAAACCCAAACTGCTCTAGTATTTTAAACTTTCACGATTACATTCTTTCAAGTTACATAAAAAAGACTGACAAGTGTGAATAACTTTAATGGTGGTTCATTTTGTACGTTTACGGAACATACAGAAATTTAAATTTTTTCTAAGTTCTACTAGTCGTATTATTTTATAATGATATTGCATACTGAAAAGTATAAAGATTATACGGATACTGACGTAAGACGATCACACCAATAAAGGCGAAGTTACTTCAAGATGAGTAAAAGGAATCCTAAAAAAATATATATACGACAAAACTTTAGCGCTTTCGATGTAGGTTGTACACTAAAGTGAAGACTATTGAAAAGGAGAGACCGTTCTTTGGATATAAAGTCGGGCTTTATTTCGATGAGATTATTTACGACTGTTCAATAACAGCTTTTCAGTGATTTGTCTTGATCGAAATTGTTCAGTGTTCACTTAACATAGAAACATAAGGAATATTGAATACTCTACACTTCGACGTGACGTCTTTCACCCTCACCTTCGGAAAGTGAGCTTTACGAAATTCGACTCTAAGAGCGGTTACATACGGTCACTTTTAATATCGATGCAAACGCGATGCAGTCACTAATCGTTTACCTTTACACACGCGCGCGATTTCAATGCAGCCGCGCGTTTGCATCGATGCAATCGCCTATAAATCACATGGTAGCGATGCAATTGCGCGATTCACGAACGTTTGCTCACCGTCTGTAACCACTCTTAGGTCCATAGCAATTAATTCTTGGAAACTGTGCCTGTAAGTTACATGTAAAATATGCTACAGTATAGGTCCGTCCCTTAGTTTCTAACGCTGGTGACAAATTTATAGTCCTGAGGTCATTAGGGTGCGGGTTGGACCCATTTTAAGATGTACATTACAACGTATGTAACAAACACGTACGATATTGTCACATTACTTTTTGTCACTATTTAGTAGTTGTTTTCGTAAAATAAATAGGTATTGCTTTCCACTTTTACTTTCAGTGATTGAAGCAATTTTGACATTTTGTGTTGACTTAATGGTTAAAAGTTTACTCGATTGTGGAGCAAGCTGATCTATATTTGGTATGAATTAAACCACCAGGCAATATCTGCTGTTGGTGTTTCTACTTTTTCTCACATTGCCCATGTAAAACTTCAAGTAGCTAATGGCTAAGAACTTCTTTGTACTGAATATAAGTCACTACCGGTTAACTATAAAGGTAATATTTAAATGGTGAATTTTAATATCCAACCTAAATCCACTACTCCTATTATCTTTGGTTTAAATTTTTGGAAAGCTTTTATACTGGCTCGTGAAGTGATTTCAACTTTAACTGTAGATGAAGATTCAGCTAGTATGTCAGCGAACCCTCTTGAATGAGGCCTAAATGAGTTTGATTCTTTGTCTTTTGAGCAGAAAACTCAAATTGTATATAAGGTTGGTCTTGGTAAAACTCACCTCCTAGAACATGTAATAAATACTGATTGTACTCCCATAAAACAAAAGTATTATCGGCTCAGGCCTGGTAAACAGGCTGCTTTGGAAAAAGAACTTGACCGCATGATAGACATAGGAATTGTAGAACCTTCTCATTTTCCTTAGAATTCACGCGTTGTAATGGTTGAAAAACAATCCAATTATTTTCTTTGATGAGTATTAAGTTTTGTGTTGTATGACTACTTTTTATAAAACAGAAACCGACCTCAAAAGTTTGTGGAATTACACGCCAAGTTTTATTGAAATCGGCTAACGAAAAGTGGGTGAAATCCAATAAACTGGATTCATCTCCTAATTTTTTACCCTTAGACTTGTAATATGTTCTTCAAATTTGAATGGGACATCTACTGAGGTACCCTCTTTCCAACAAAAAATAATTATCGAGATAGGTTCATCAATGTCGGATTAATCGCGTAGCATACACACAAAAAAAAGTTGAACGTCGGGTAATAAAACTGGCCGCAGCTTTAGAATAAAAACGACTCAATAGAAAATCCCAAGTTTTTGGAAAAAGCAAAAATAATTTCACTCATCAATAAAAATCAGTAATTTTTTAAACTTTCTTATCAAGTTTTCTCAATTACATAACTTTTTATTTAAGACAGTATTCGGTTTCATGTGCCATTTTGTGTCTTCGACAAAGTTGCAATGGCAATGGTCACGACCTGATGAGATGCGATGTTACGCCTCCGTCTCGGCGGTGTAATTTTCATCTACCTTCGCAATATTTTTAAAAGTATTCATCGCGTTGATCCTCGTAAAGTTAGTACAATGCAAGGCAAAAGTTCTAAAGCGCATATAACAAAACACTTTTTCAAAGAGTTTTGCTCACAACAGTAAATAATCGAAGTTTGCACACGCTTAGAAAAGTATTAGGAGTTCATCCCGTTCCAAAGTTTGTTCATACAAACATTCGCAAAACAAAACCACACAGTGACGATAGCCAAGCTATTAAGCTTAGAGGGGTATTTAAACACCTCGTTATAAGGATTACTTCCATTTTCGCCGGATATCACATTCGCCGGATGCCTGTTCGAAAGCTTCGATGGTTAAAACGATTAAAAGGGCACTCTGTTACAATACTGCAAGTATAGTTCATTACACATAGCATGGATACGGTGACGTTTGCAATTTGAAGTTTCTAGAGATGGAAAATCGAATGAAAGAAATCGATTTAAATATCTTATTAAGATCATTTACAACGAAGAGAGAATCGATTTAGAGACAATAATTTAAGAACAAATAGTTTCTTTTGTTGAAATGCCACTCAGAGCTTTAAATCGCAAAGATCTGAGGGGCACTGCCACTACGCCCGTCACCCTGAGACAAGTTGACAAGGCTCATGTGCCAGTAATTTCACCAGCACACTTACCCTTCAAGACCGGCATTACTGCTTGGCTGCAGAAATGGGTAAGGTGGCAATACTTTCCTGGACGATCGCTACTGCTGCTGAACAATGATGATGCAATGGTAATCAAAGTAAACAGGATTCAACTATTACCTATGTTACTAAAAAACCACACAACAATTATAAAATTCAACAACAACCAAATAAACAAAAGGTCTACAACTAAGCATAAAACCAACAGCAACGGAACGAAGTTTAAACAATTGATCCAGAAACCGAAAAGAAAAGGTCCGCATACAAAATACAATGTACTCATATTGACGCGAGATACACATTTGTAGATTCGATTTATCGATTCCGTGGTATAAATCTCTAATACATTCCTTTTTACGCATCAAGTAGCTGGGGTAATTTATTTTAATCTTTATCATTTCATTTTCTATCTAGTTAATATATTGTTATTTTTACCAAAAATTATATGTTATATAAATAATAAATAAATTTACTATTTTTTTAACCTGGTTAAGAGATTAGTTAAATGCAGCGTAAAAACTTGAAATGTCATAGTACCCATCCTATGCGAAATGGACTATAGTCTACGCCGCCCCAGGATGAGATAATTGTCCCTAAATCTAGTCTTCGACTTTCGGGTTCGATGTTTTTAATAATAATAATATCAATAAATCTCTCTTTATTGCCTACAACTATAAACAAAACTATAACTATAAAAACTTTGAAAACAACTACACTTAAGAAATGAATCGCGTTTATAAATGTAGATTCTACACACCAGTTGATCTCCTTGTGAAAAAGTTCGTCCAGGGAAGTACTGTCCTGTACCTTTCCTGTTTCTGACATCAAAGCCGTTCTGGTTTTGGAAGGTGCTAGTGAATATACAGGCACATGGGACTTGTCAACTTATGTCTCAGAATGACGGGCACAGTGGCAATGCCTCTTAGATCTTTGCGATTAAAATCTTTGAGTGGCACTGCAACTTCTATGGACAGGCGTGTCTTTTGCCACCAGGCGCATGACTTGTTCGTCCCGTCACTTGGTGTCATTAAAAAAATCACAAAAAAAACATTTTTTGAATCGAAATGATTTAATGATACCATTCTTCAAAATAGAAGTCTGTTGCATGTAAGGCAAGCGTTCTTCCAACTAGGATACCCATGTCTTAAGGATTAACAGAACTCGATACCATATCGATGTCTCTGCAAGTTGTAATTTGTATTTCCTTTCACCAGATGGCGTGAGTGTCCACAACGGACGACAGACCAGTGAGCTAGTGATTGGCAAGGCTGAGCCTCGTCACGCAGGCAACTATACTTGCGTCCCTGCTAATGCCAAAGCTGCCTCGGTCACCGTTCACGTTGTCCAAAGTAAGTATAAATTCTATCTTATTTCAATTCAAAATAGCTGAATTTCCTTTGGCGGAATGTGATAAATATTAAATTTTAGTTGAACAAAATTGAACCATGTTTACTCGCACAGAATAGTTATTATTCAGTATATAAACTGCTTACAATGTCTAGCGCTAAATAAGGATACAAAAAACATTATTTTCGGCTAGAAAAAATTATTTATAAAGGTGAAATGAGATCTCAAAACGACGTTTTAACGTATTTTGTCCTCACGGAAAATCGGTTTTTTGTAGTTAAAAAAATACGAATTTAACGTTTTTTTTTTAAATTGCTAAACAAAACAAAATACCGATAGTGAACTATGGGAACCCTATACACGAATAACTTAACTTCGCTTGATAAATAAATATCACAAAATTCTAGAAAAAAGTTTATGTACAAAAAATCTATTTTATTGGATTGTTATTAGAGATAGGAAATGAAACTGTTTTTCCGGATTTAAACCGCGTATATTTGTTTTTTCAAACAAACCGAGCGACGTTTCGGGCCCTTTACAGGTCCCATGGTCAAGGTTGACAGTCAACCGTGACCATGGAACCTGTAAACTGTGTCGGTTTGTTTGAAAAAACAAATATACGCGATTTAAATCCGGAAAAAACAGTTTCATTTCCTATGTGTAACAATCGCGAAAACCTAAGAACTCGATATGTTATTAGAGATATTTTAATAAAATAGTCTCTTCCGTGTTTCGTGGTAAATACGTCAGGGGATTATGATCTATTTTAAACTAGAGAGGATATTTTATTTCTAAAATGCAAACGTTTAAACATTGTGAAAATCATTTCTCCGCGTTTATTACACAAGCATCAAAGCCTACGCAACCACGATACCATTTCGCCTTAAGAGTCTATACAACCTCAAATGGCTTTGGTTGGTTCCGCATAATAGTGAAAGTGTTGAATTAATCACTTTGGAAAAAATATATAGAAAAATAGAGATATACACTGATTACTATATTGTGTGAAAACACACTTCCTCAAAATTTTCACGATAGACAAAAAAAAAACACAAATTTAACTCAAAATTTTACGAGAAAACCGCTGTATTCAATAGGTAATTTACATATACCAATGATTTTTTAATATCAACTGAACTAAATAGAACACGTATAGTTTATGATATACATTTTGAAATAAAGCCAGTATCTCTACCTCTCGACCCAACCAAAATGAACCGTATTAGTTCGGGAAAAATTTTAATTATTTTTATTTTAATTATTAATGCAAAGATCGAACACTCAGAAAAAACACTCAGAAAAATATCCTTCGATCCGGTCGGATTCGAACCGACGTCTTCTTGCATACCGTGCCAGACGCTATACCAACTAAGCCACGGAACGAACCAACGGACCTCACGAATTTTTCTATGTGCTTGCGTCGTGTCTTTGTACTTGGTCTTTCAACGACTTTTTAGTCGTAGCGCCATCTATGAGAAATCTATTACAGATTTATCACCCAGTTAGTACCTTTACAGCTACCAGTCCTGGCGAGAGATGTCGCTATTCACTGTATTAATTAAATTTTTATTGAATTGATATTCAATTATTTTTTGTGAAATTACTCCACTAGTTTGTTATAATTATTAATGCAAAGATCGAACACTCAGAAAAAACACTCAGAAAAATATCCTTCGATCCGGTCGGATTCGAACCGACGTCTTCTTGCATACCGTGCCAGACGCTATTTTTATTTTATTTTTTTTATACATGACAGGCAAATGACTCCACTCCACCTGATGTTAAGTGGAAAGTGGTATCCAAACGCGAAGGAACCTAGTGCAGCGATGAAATCCTCACTGCACTAGCCACCTCCACCCTAATTCACGCTCAGGTGGTATCGATGGGTGGTATAGACTCTTAATTTAAAGATTAGAAATATTTACGTATTCCAAAACGAGGAAATACATTGTATTGTATATAACTATGACCAACTATGTCCAATTAAGACATTGAGTTCAGGGCACTACTCACAACACCCAGTTAAATTTAGCTAGATTCGTTCTACCGGAATCAAACTTATGAATTCCATATCTAACATCCAGAGTAGTTTATAGCTGTAACCGTAGTAATGAGACACGTAGTACAACTACCGTCTGTTCGGTGCATCAATGCCTACACTTTAGCGCGATTTGATAATGTGACACAGGGTTGTCACATTATCAATCTAATTAAGTTAAATAGTACATTCATCACAGCATTCTCGTGCTTTATTAAAATAACCTTTATTAAATACAGTACCTACTTACGTATTTTCAACTGCCTTCGAACGACTGATCTGCCAAGCAGAGGTCCCGAGTTCGACTCCTGGGCCGAGATAAATATTTATAAATAAATAAATAAATAAATAACGTACACACTCAACATAGCCCCGCACTAGGGAAACCCTGTGTCGCGGGTGCCATGGACACACACATAGACAACCACAAATTACACCCAAACTCACGAGAGAAATAAATGTAGGCTATATAAATATTTCTCCCGGCCCGGGAATCGAACCTGGGACCTCTGCGTGGCAGTCAGGCATGGTAACCGTTCGGCCACAGAGGCAGTTAATTTGTATGGCCTACATTTATTTGTCTCGTGAGCTTGGGTGTAATTTGTGGTTTTGTAATTGTGTGTGCAGTCAAACCACCACTAACACAACAATAAACACGTGTACTATTTGATGTCATTTTTTAAACACCGAGCAAACGATTCATTTTTATAATGAATGGCACGTGTGACGACCCGCGCTATGCAACGTGAGTGCACCGTGAAGTTATGAGAATGTGTGCATCAAGTACAAGGCGGGCAGCGCGTGTGCACACATACAAGCCGCGCTGCTTCGTTTGTATGGAGTTAACCTACTTGTCTTATTATATTATGTTGTAATTATGTCAACTACCTACATGTAACTATTTCAAATCCACTCTAGCCTCATTTAAGGTAATTGCTATAACAATGGATAGTTAGTGAGAGAAATGCAAATCTGCGACGTTCTCAGCTAATTCCCTTCGATGTAACTCACGTTAGTTTTACATACGAAATTGTAGGGTATTACAGCCATCATGCCCCGGGGAATCTAAGACTCCGAACTCCAAATTTACGTATGATCTGCCAAAGTTAATATTTCAGTAAGATTTTTCTTATAATAACATGGCAGATTATCACGCCAATTATCTGGTCTTAAGGGCAAAGGAATTAATTCCGGGACATTTCGAATTAATTTTGCCAATTTATTAATTATTTCCCAAATTGGTCCCACCGGGAGTCGAACATCCAGCTCCCGCAGTGCAAACCATTGGATTACCTGTACGTCACAATTCAGTTAATTGAGCACCCTATATGTTACATACTGGCAGCGCACCGGGCTAATTTCCCGGCAAATAACTTGCTACAGTTATACAAGTTAGATTAGTTCTTAGGTAGATAATTGCAGTCATTCAAAAGAGTTATTTATTTTATATTGCAAAATGTCTCTAACATGTTTCTACTAGTCACTGTATTTTTTTATATTATCTAGTGATGGGACGAACAAGTCGTGCGCCTGATGGTAAGGTACACGCCTGTCCATTACTGTTACAGTGCCACTTAGCTCTTTATATCGCGAATATATGAGGCGCACTGCCACTGCACCAAAGACCACCCTGAGACATAAGTTGACAAGCCCCATGTGCCTGTAATTTCACCAGTACCCTCATCCTTCAAAACCGGAACACAATAATGATGACATTACTACTTGGCGGCAGAAATAGATAAGATAAGAAGATAAGTACTTACCTGGGCGAACTTTTTCTCAAGGAGCTCTACTGCTACTAAATAAATAATTAGTGGCTTACATTTAATTTTGTTGACAATCTTAACGTGTAGCGACGCCAAGGAAAAGCGATGGATCGAACCGATTATAGTGACGATTGATTAAAACGAGGAATCGTCTGTATATATATGGGGGCCTTTAGATGGAGTCTGTTATTTAAAAACCTTTATTTTTTGGTATTCTAATTGCGTCAAAATCACACTTACCTTATTATTATCCTGAATAGACTCACAACTGCCCGAAAACGGCATGTAATGAAAATTTCAGACTATAAACAAATAAAATTATCTTTACAAAGAACGTTACTTTTATCAAAATATTAGAAATTAATGTCAAGGCTTAGCGTTTCATTATTTTTATTGTGAATTTCATTTCTTGAAAATAAGACATCGCTTAAGGTTAAACAATGATGTTATAAGATATTTTTTAGATCTCTATCACAATTATTGTTTAAAGAAAACATATCAATATCATATATTGATATATTTTCATATATCTCTTCATAAAGAGGCCGTATGGTGGAACCTTTGCCTGCCTAAATAAATGGGTGAAAATTAAAAAAAAAATTGTTTAGTGCTTAGAGGATGGAAAAAATAAAAGAAAGGAGTTGCCCTAACTACGCAATGAACGTGCATACCTAAACAAAAATTGAACGAACAAAATGGCGGATTTCTTTAGTGTCGTACCATAATCTATCGATAAGTTATTATCGACATGCAAACATTTAATTAAAGTAGATCAATATTCCATTTGGAAATATTTTAGGTTATATGGGAATATCCGGGAATGTCACATGAAATTTTGAATTTATTGTTTAGCGTTTACAAAGACCCAAATATTACGAAAAGTGAATTAGCACAGACAAAGTTAATATTTTGTAATTTGAGAGTATATAAAAAAGAGAAATCTTTGAGAAATCCTATACATTTCCAACCTCAAGATTCATATTTTCATAGAGAAATTTTTAGACGGATTTCAAATAGTGTAAGCTTTTTGTATTTATCCATTGGCATAGAATTAATATCAATGACTGATTTAAGTGAATGTTTAATACTTCCATTTAATTTTGGAAATAAATGAAAGTAGTACTATTATCAATAATAATATTATTATCATACGTTTATTTACTTAAAACATGGAATAACAGGAGATGTAACAAGAGAC